TATCAAATTGTAATGGGCTCAACACATGAAAGAGGTCACATGTTGAATTTAATTTTTTGCACTAAGCGATTGAAGGTAGGCCTGGCTTTGGCCAATTATCGACAGTCTCTAACCTGCCCTTGTTGAGCAAAGAGACTGAGAGAGCAGTAGCAGATCAACTCGGGGTCTTCTTAGATAACTCATCTGCTCTAGACCCTTTTCAGGCTGGCTTCAGGCTGCCCTGTGGGACAGAGATGACTCTGCTGTCTTTAGCTGATGACCTCCACCTGAGTGTAGATGAAGGCCAAGCCTCTGTGTTTCTCTAACTGGACTAATCTACAGCCTTTGATACAGATCATACCATCTTGTTGGAGTGCTTGGAGGTATCAGGGGAGGCACGCTGGACTGGTTCAAATCATTCTTTGAGGATCGGACCCAAAGAGCTACTATTGGAAACAAGTTATCAGTGTGGGGTTATCATCACCTGTGGAGTTACACAAGGTGCAATTCTATCTCCCGTGCTTTTCAATCTCTATGTAAAGCCCTTAAGACAAATCATTTGTAGCACTGGCGTTGGTTGTCATCAATAAGTGGATGATACCTAGCTTTATATATCTTTATCCAAACCCCTTGTATTAGAGTTCCTGAATAACTGCCTGGCTGCTTTGTTAAATTGGGTAAGAGTGAACAAGTTGAAACTAAACCCTGAGAAGACAGAGGTAATGCTGGTTGAAGGCAGAGATCTTTTTTTTTTTGGCCCCCTGTAGGGGATTTTTTTAATTTGCATTTTCTATAAACTACAAAGAAACAAGGGAAGGTATCTACTAACTACAGGTAAAAGTAAAGAAAAACCACTAAAAACCCAAAAGATGGTGGTCTTTTACAATGCTTATAAAATTAGCTTCTAAATAGGTAAGCTTATTCTTTGCTATGTTAAGTGAGTACACAATTCTTAATGCTTGTACTAGAATCTCCAACAAATCTGACTATATAAAGAGCTCTATAAAGAAATGATTTAAATTCATTTTAAAACAGAATCTAGAGAACAATCACAACTCATTTTTTCCCCTTTTTGTTTCTCAATCGATAGCTTAGTTTAGGGGCAGATGCCCCCTGTTCTGAAATGGAGTCATCAGAAGGTGCCAGTACTCCTTCACTTCCCTTGCTGCTGCCATCTTCATCTTTATCCTCTTCATCTGCTGGACCGGCCTGTTGATGTAGGAATTTGCGTGCCTTTACAACAGAGTCAATTTTTTCCTTCTTATCTTTAAATTTGAAGAGCATACATTCAGGTACACACCATCTGTAGGGGGACATTATTTTTCTGTAAAAACAGCACCAAGTCTCTGAATTTCTTTCTCTTCTTCCTTATTTCAAATGGGATGTCCTTCAAAACTCTTATTTCTTTGCCTTTGATTTTCAGGGTGGCTCCACTTGTTGCTTTCAATATTTGGTCTCTTACTTGTCTCCTGGAGAATCTCACCCCAATCTCGCCGGGCAGATTATTCTTTCTTATGTAGTCAGAATACGGCCTATAGATCGTATCTATTTCATTTTGTAGAAAATCTGCTTTTAAATTTGCAGCCGGCCCCAATGCATCACACATAATCTGCTTCAAGTCTTCTCCTCTTGCTTCAGGGACCCCCTGAAATCTTAAGACATAGCTTGCCTTTTCCATTTGCAGCTGTAAAAGTTGAGCCTCATCAGTTGCTCTCTTTTTCTCCATCCCCTGCATTTGTTTTTTAAGCTTCTGGGTGTTGGCATCCACTTCTTTAAGCTCTTGCTCCATTTTCTCTGTCTTTTTAGTAGCTTCATTTAACTGGCTTTGTTGTGCATTGAACGTATTATGGAGCAATGTCATTTATTCCAGCAGAGGGCACAGGGCCTCGGTCAGCATGCTTTGGAAGTCTATGGCAGTGTCCTGTCTAGGAACGGAACTCACTGGGCTAGCATTTCCAGCAGGGAACTTCAGTTTCGGTTGCTTGTCCTTCTCCTCCCTCCTCGGAGGCGCCATGTTTGAGGATTGTTTACTTTTTAGAAAAAGTTATCAAAGTCTCAAGATCCTTTAGAAATGCTTGGTTAGTTCTCAAAAGCTCCTTATTATAGCTTATTTCAGTTTTGCAGTCCGCCGTCCGCCCCCATAGCTTCGTTTATCAGTTCCGTTTTTCCTTTTGAGGGGAAGGGGGCCCCCTCGATTTGTTTTTTTGGGGGCTTTCAGCTTACTTTCTGGTGTCTTCGCTTATACAGTCACTCACATTTCAGCATAGAACTCGTTTTCTGTGATTAACTCGCCTGGCCACCAAGTGCTTGTCCCGGGATCGTCAGGGCAGGGATCGGCCCCCCTTTGCCGGCTGGTTGCCGGAGGAAAGGCCCTCCAAGCGCCCCATGGCTAGGAGCCTAACGCAAGGGCCCTGGGGGGGGATGCATACCATCACACCCCCTCCCATCCGCCGATTCAAAGCACGTGTCTCCCTGAGCTCCGGGAGAACGCGGCCGCCATTGAGGGAGCCAAAACCGGAAAACTAAGGCAGAGATCTTGAAAGACACACTGCTCTCCATTTCTGATGGTGTTCAGCCGATCCTTGCTGACACACGTAATAGTTTTGGGGTTATTATACTGGACCCAGTGTTATTACTGGAGAAGCAAGTTAATGCAGCTTTAAAAAAGACTTTTTTCCAACTCAGCCCAAAAGATGACCCCTTACCTTGATATGGCTGATATGGCCACCTGGATTCATCCCACAGTAACATGGAGTCTAGACTATTGTAATGCACTGAGCATTGGTCTCCCCTCAAAATCAATTTGGAAACTACAGTTGGTGCAGAATGCCACAGCTCATAAGAACATAAGAGAAGCCAATGTTGGATCAGGCCAGTGGCCCATCCAGACCAACACTGGTGCCATCAAGAGGTCCAGCAGTGGGGCCAGGACACTGTTGCCCCCCCCCCAAGCACCAAGAATACAGAGTATCACTTGCCCCAGCCTGAGAGTTCCTATCTATACCTTGTGGCTAATAGCCACTGATGGACTTCTGCTCCATATGCTTATCTAATTCCCTCTGGTCACTGTTCCCAAGCGGTGCAATCAGCTGTTATCGGGAGCTAGATAGAGCATGCATATTGGTCCCATTCTGCAGTCACTGTACTGGCTGCCCATCAGTTACTGGGCTCAATTCAAGGTATTGGCTGTCAGATATAAAGCTTTTCATGGCCTCGGTCCCTCAAATCTGTGAGACTGTCTTTCACCCTGTGGTCTGCCTCAGCAGCTACACTCATTTTAGCAAAGTCTTCTGCAGGTGCCAGCCTGCAAATGGGCAAGATCAGCAACATGCCTTCTCTGTTGCGGCCCCCACCTTCTGGAATGGCCTTCCTGGGGAGGTCAGGAATGCTCTCGTCCTCCTGGCTTTCCACAATGTTGAATTATTCAAGAGGGCAAGCAATAGAGTTGTACTGTAGTAAATGATTCCCAAAGTTATGGTCTATACTACTGTGTATAGCTTACTGAAACTACGATTGTGCTATGTAATTATGCGTCATTTAATATGCCATGTTAATGTTAATGCTAATGCTTTGCTTCAGTCCTATTTTTAAACTTCTAATTGGTTCTACAACCCTAATCCTATTGCATTGTTTATTGCATTATTGAGTGTCCCATCCTGTGTATTGTATTGACTCACTCTGTAATCTGCCTTGAGTCAAAGTGAGAAAGGCCAACTATAAATAATGTAAACAAATAAATAAAAATAAATGTAAACACTGGAGAGACTTAAATAATATGTGCCCCTTTCTATTAATTAATAAATATTCTGCATGGAATATACTGCCTTGCACTTGACACATTAGTGTTGTCACTTGACAAACCCAGATGTTCCATAGCAGCAATCCACCATTATAGTTATCTTTGTGATGGTTTGTCAAGTTTGGGGAACAGGACATTAAAATTCCTAGGCCATTTCTGGAACATTTCTAGAATGAGAAAAGGTATGTTAACAATAGTGAAATAGGGTCCATTCCTGAAATCATACCACTGGGTTAGGTTATAGCAGTTTTGCTGAGTGCTAAGCTCTTTGCATTACTGAAACAAAGTCTGTGTGCCTCAACACAGCAATATTTTTTGAAGACTGGTGGAACTGAGTGGGGTTATTCCAGAACAGATTTTTACCCCTTAAGTTGGATGTCTACAAGTCTATGCCTACCTCTGACAGCAGGTTACTGTTGATGTCTATGAAGTTACTAGCTTTCATCATTATAAAATGCATGCCATGATTTTAGCTGGGACTTTGTCATATTTTTTCCAAACATCATATTACAAGCATACAGGCAGCCATAAAATAAATGCATAATTGTAATACAACAGCCCTGGACTGGAAGCTCATTTTAAAGGGTTGCTTGCTCTGTGGTGTTTCTTATCAACAGAGAGGCCACTTAGTTTTGGAATATGGCATAAATTTGATTGAGAATATTGATTTTTTAAAAAACCTGGTAATAGGATAAAGAATCATTATTATTTGACTACTTGTGTGTTTCTTAAAGCCAAGTTCCTGATTTTTGAACATAAAAGAGTTGAGATACAATCTTTCCCATCAGGCTTCCTGGGAAGCAATTTCCTCTTGATTCTTCCTAGAAGGTTCTTCTGTCTTCAGCTGATATTGGGGGTGAGGGAGAGAAGAAGTCCTAGTATTGTGGTCCATTATTCTATTGTCTAAGAGCCTGACCTCAGACATGCTCACGAGGAGACTTTTCATACAATCAGACTTTATAGTGCGAGTATAGTCTGAACATGTTCTCCTTACACAGGCTTGCCTGCTTGCAATAAAGGCTTTCTTGACCACAGGACTTTTTAAAATTACATCTGCTTGAAACTGTCCATTTGGTTGATGCAGGATTAATGAAATTATCCCGTTCCTGCAGCTTGCCCAAACTATACCCTCTTGGTACAGGAGGCATAAGCTATTTTTTCCTTTCAAATGCTCTGCTGATCATTTGGCTTGGTACATGGAATAATTTCCCTTCCTCTACAGGGTGATGATAAGAGCTTTCGGCGAACTCCTTCCTGGCGAAAGCGTTTTCGACCACGAGAATTTCACAGCATCAACATGCTCAGTGGGTCAGCAGAGACTCTCCCAGCAGGGTTCCGAGTGACTTCCTTAGTACCTCTGCCACCTCCTTCAGCACCACCGAAGAAAATGCCACCGGAAGGTACCGTTCAGCTTTCTGTTGCTTTCCTTATGTATGGAATAAACAGTTCCAAACTAACATCTTCTGTCTCTCAGGTACCTGAATGCTGCATGGTGTGTCCTCCATTGATATAAAACTTAAAGGCAGCCACAAGGGAGGGGGTAGATCACATTGCTGCAAGGGAAGTTTTAAACAGATCTCACAATCCCACCCCTTATGCTTTTTTAACATTCGCAAACAAGAAAGCCAGTGTGATAAATCGCTGCTAAACTGTGTATAAAACATTGTGCATTCAATAGGTTTAAATGCTATATAACATGTTCTAATGATCACCAAGCTACCGCTTGTGCAAGAACTCTATCACACAGCAAAAATAAACTTATAACTCTAACACATTCCTTCTTGTAGCACGTGGCAAGCGAGCCGACAAACAGGACAAACAATGAGTATCTATGTTCCAACTCGTTTTCATAAGGATGATCAACTCCAGAAAGATTTTCAATACAATTTCTTCCATGGAGTTATCTGGAACTAGCCATAGATATAAATATAGCATAGATAATGAAATACACAGCTGTTGGGAATCAATCTTACCAAAAATCCTCTACAAAATGCCAATACCCACGTAATTTTCCAAGTTATAAAGTTTATACAGGAAGTATAAGGTGGACTTTACCATTCAATTTTCAGGCTTGGTACAAGCATGAATGTATTAGAGTTATACATTTATTTTTATTGTGTGATAGAGTTCTTGCACAAGTGGTAGCTTGGTGATTATTAGAACATGTTATATAGCATTTAAACCTATTAAATGTACAATATTTTATATACAGTTTAGCAGCCATTTATCACACTGGTTTTCTTGTTGGCAATTATATGAGAGCCAGTTTGGTGTAGTGGTTAAGTGTGCGGACTCTAATCTGGGAGAACCGGGTTTGATTCCCCACTCCTCCACTTACACCTGCTGATGTGACCTTGGGTTAGTCACCAGCTCTGGCACAGCTGTCCTTGAAAAAGAGCAGCCTCTGACAGAGTTCTCTCAGCCCCACCCACCTCACAGGGTGTCTGTTGTGGGGAGGGGAAGGGAAAGGAGTTTGTAAGCCGCTCTGAGACACCTTTGGGTAGTGAAGGGCGGGGTATAAATCCAAACTCTTCTTCTTCTTCTTCTTCTAATCCTGCTGTATATTTTTGCAATATTCATAACGCCTTGGAACCACTGTTTGCCCTGTAGGGGCAAGCATGCATGTGGTGCTGGTATCCCCCCCCCCCACAAGCGGTAGTTTATCTTCGTCCTGTGCAGTCCCACATTTTTCTAGCATAGTAACAGAGCAGGTGGAACCCTTCCCTGTAGGAGATGTTGAGACCATTTCCCACCCAATAGTCACATGCTCCAGGGAGGGGCTCTGCACACTTCCTCAGTTCTTCTTTTGCCATCCCACCTTTTTCTTCGACATGTCTTTGTTCAAGAAATGCTTCATGTGCTCCACAACAATGAGAAAGACAGATGACCATGAGGTCTGTTTAATCTGTTTGGAGGAAGGTCACAATGTTGCGGCATGTGCAGTCTGCCAGCGCTTCACCCCAAAGGCTAGGGCTCATCGAGTGTCCTGCCTGAAAGCAGCGTTGTGAGAAAAAGTGCTCTCAGCAGGTTCTAGCCCGGCAGCTAAACCATCTGCTCATGTGAACCAGCCTCCATCTATAGCTCTGCAGCAGACCTCTGACTGTGCATCTCAAGCCCCGTTGGTGGTATCTGCACACTTCGTTCCATAGACAGATCCAGCCCATAAGCGATCCACGGACCCGAGCTCAGTACCAAGTAGGTCAATCTCAGAACCACTTCCAAAGAAGCATAAGGCTAAAGCAAAGCATAAGTCACACCGATCCACTTCTGTGTCTCGCACTGACCTCAGATCTGCAGAACTGAGACAGAAGGAGCCAAGTACTCTGTCTCCTGTTTATGTATCACCACCCAGGTCTCTATCAGTTTGCAACAAACCACCAACACAACTGGCAGCATACACTGAACCAGTACTCCAGTGGGCCTCCAGAGGGGCATGGCAATCAGATCCATATGAACATCCCTTACAGTACAATCCAGTGGGTTCCGTGAATCCAGTTCTGGGACCGGAACCATACAGCCATTATATGGAGCCTCCGAGAACACTGCGACAATGGGGGTTGTATGAGAGCCCAGGCATCTCATTAGCTGAAATCTGCAAAGTGGCTGCATGGTCTTCAGCTGACAGTTTTATTGAACATTACTCAGTTGACACAAATACTAGAAGGAAGACAGCAGAGGGGACAGCAGTCCTCCATTCTATTTTCCAATGAATGGCTCACCCCACCACCTGCTATTTTAGTTTGGTAGTCTCCCATGTGGGGCTGCACAGGACAACGAAGATGAAAACATGGTTGCACTTACCTGTAACTGTTGTTCATCGAGTTGTCACAGTGCAGGCACACATCCCTCCCTCCTGCTCCCCTGTGAGCTATATATATATAAGAAATAGGTTAAGAAAGACTGTATATATATCCTCTCAGGGTCCCCATTGTAACAACCTTCTCTTGTCCATGGCTCATAGTGGCGGCTTTTAGGAACTGAAGAAGTGTGCAGAGCCCCTCCCTGGAGCACGTGACTGTTAGGTGGGAAATGGTCTCAATGTCTCTAGCAGGGAGGGGCTCCTTCTGCTCTGTTACTATCTTCCGGTGGCTGGCTTGCACCTGCGCAGTACCCATGTGTGCCTGCACAGTGACAACTCAATGAACAACAGTTACACGTAAGTGCAACTATGTTTTCTTGCTAGGAGTTGTGGGGGGGGGGGAATGGCATGGAGAATGAGTTTGTAAAAGAGAAAGGGAGAAGAAAAAGAAACGAAAACCTCCTCTAGCACCAGGGCCCCAGATGAATGTTTTTCATTCTGAACAGAGATTGGATTGTCATAATTTGTCTTTTAGTTCCTTTAATTGGAGAGCAGCGATACAAAAAAGATCAAGGACCCAATGTCATTAGTATCTATTTATTGGTTTCTTTCAAGCCCTTGTAAATAGAATAATGTTATTAGGGTTCATAAGAATTTTAGAATTCTAGAGAATAAATCAACCCCCAGCCTCTACCAAGTTCTGAGACTCCCCTAACTATATCCATTTGAAGACTATATATACCATTGTCTAGCTCTTTTAGGATTCATTTTTGTCATTCACTTGTCCAAATTTTCTGCAGTCTGTACTCTTTGAGGCCATATGCTCCTTGATCCACTTTCCCTTCTGTGCCAGCATTCTACATTTTTACATGTATTAATAGCATCAGATATTAGTTCTTTGTTGACAAAAATATTATAATAGCCTGAACAAAAACATCATCATCCTCAACAGGCAACCCAAGCCTAATGGTTTGCTTCGCATGAGTGCTGTGTCCTCATTAATAGCATGCTTTTGTGTGTTGTTGGTGAACGGTTTGCAGTTGGTGCATCTGGGTCCCAAAGACTGGAGACGTCCACAGTTCGTACATACTCCTGCTGAAAATAAGTTTCCAATGAGACTTGGCCCAGGCTCCAGGTAAGCTTAGAAACTAGGACAGAGCAGCTACAATCACAGTATTTCACAGAACTTCATGGACAAAACCAGAATTTCTATACAACATGCATTTGAGTGCATTTCCTCTGTGCCTCCAAACATAGCTCTTCTTGTCTTAGGTCTTGTTTTCAGGGAAGCCTCCTGTGTTGCTGGTCTAGTCCTCTAGTACTAAGATGGAAGTGCAGGAAACAGCATGAGAACAAAGGGGCAGGTGTGTGTGTGGACTGCAGCATCCACACTGACCCACAATCTGCACTTATCTCTGTATCAGACCAGATGTCAGGCTCCTTAGACAGGTCACAACTCACACCAAGGCTTCTTGCAAAGTGTTTTATTGTTATTCCATAACTAAAGAACGAGTATGCAGCTTGTGTCAGGAATGGCCGGTAATACAATGGCCACAAACTTATAGTGAAATCAAACTACCCCCCTCAGTCAAAGCCAATGGATAATTTTCGTGCAGGTGGGAAGAAGCTAGCAGCAAGCGGCAAAAGTTCAGAAGCCGTTAACTTTCCCAGACCTGTTGATTTGCAAGCTGGGAACAATAACAAGGTCAGGCTCAAGATAGTGCACAGAAACGAGGCAGGGATGAGCTGGGAACGAGGAGGCAGTGCACCCCTCCACATTCCAGATCTATGACAGGGCTACCTGACACCAGAGAACTCAGTACAGTTGTCATGTGGCTTTTGGCAATCAGGTTCATTGAATCAGCCTAACCCCAACACAAACCCTATGTCGAGTGGCACTGGATACTATCAAGCAGCTCTCTGAGTTCTCTCAGCCTCACCTACCTCAGGGTGTGTGTGTTGTGGGGTGAGGAAGGGAAGGAGATTGTAAGAGAAGAAGAGATATCTCTTGTAAGCTGCTCTGACACTCCGACTGAAGGTATACATCCAGTCTCTTCTTCCCTTCTTCTAATATCTACCTTGGAGACAACTAGCTCTATGCTATCTTAAATATATTTGAGCCAGTGAAGACCAAAGACAGCCTGGTGCAACAGTAAGAATGATGTGGGAAGCCTATATTCTCATCCCTACTTGGCTATGAAGGTCAGTAGTCTCTCTCGCAAAAGGTTATCATGAAGCCAGAAGACCCTTCCTTAGAAGGGGGGTACAAATGAAAAATAAATGGATAAACAGTGAACTCAAGGCATCAAAGATAATAGCTTGAGATACAGAATAGAACACCCCAGCAGATCGATCTTCCACGTAAACCGGCTTGATCATCAAGCAAGCTTTATTTAAAACACACAGAAGATGAGTTTAATGTCGGTGGATGCAATCAGGGCCCATTTTTACAGCTGAGCCACTTGGACACTTTGTCCTTTTCCAGAGTATTACTGAATCTACTCTCTATCCAGTAGGGTACCAGGCAGTCTGGCATCTTGCTGAGAGCTCCGTGGCCAAGAGATGCAAGTGCCTGAAGCGCTGACAAAAGTGTACTGGTCACAATAACAACAACGAGGAGGAGGAATGTGCTGAATAGCGACTGGGGAGGCAGCTATGGAAAGGAAGATGACAGCTGTTGGATAAAGATAGCAGGCTTTCCTCCCTTCCTCCCTCTCCCCCAGGCAGTAGCAGCCCTGGAGCTCCCAGTGACATGAATAGACCCGGGTCTTGTTCGGTGGGGAGTCTGTTGCCCATGAATGAACCACTGCTTGTGTTTGCTACAGCAGCCTCTATGCATCCTCTGTATTGTCAGTGCAGATTGTGATTGTTTGTGAGAATGGGAGGAGCCAAATGAGGCAGAGGGGATGAATGTGTCCTTCCTGCCTTTCATTTGAATTGTATAAACCCTCCCCGGCCACTCTTTGAACAGATCTGTTTCCCTCTGCCTAGTCATGGAAGGAGGCAGTCTTGCAGCAGCCTGTCTGATTTGCAGGTTCATGCCTGGGCTACCTCAGGCTGCTAGAGCAGAGCAAAATTAAACTGGCACATGAGAGTGAAAGTACAGGGTCAAAGCAGATCACCACAGCACTCTGTTAATATATACCACTTGTGTTAATATATCCTCTCTACTTGTTTGTTTTGCAGCACATTCCCACTACTTGTACGGTTATACACTGGCTGCTTTCCGAGAGTAGGCCAGAGACCAGACTATGCTTGCTCCTTGGCTCCAAAGAACGGAAGCTACAGGTCAACCATTTTGGGCTACGTGGCCAAAAGGACACTCGTCCTCCTGCTTGTACACAATCCCTGGTCTCCTGTTTGGTGTCCTTGAACCCCAATTATATCTGTGGCTTCTCACTTCTCTCTCCTCCTTCCCTTGGTTATAAACCCATTCCTTGCTGAGAAAGGGAACAGGTTTTCCTCCTCCCAGATCAGTCCTTTATGTGATGCTGTGATCTTGACATAGGTCTGGTAAGACATGGAGACACCCTGACATTGGTCGACAACAGTACCTGCACCGTTATCTTCCTGTGCTTCATTTTGCCATTACGCCAGAGAGCAGCAGTACTGCCGGGACCCTATAAGACTATCGCCAAGGAAACAAGGCAACGAGAATATAGGAAAACCCAGCTTGGTTCTCTCCCCGAGGCACACCAGGCTTCTGCTGGATCTGGCCACTGTGCCCAAGAAACAAAGAGAACCTGCCCATGGACAATCTTGGCTTTCAGAAATGAAAGAGTTGGGGCTAGAAACAGGGCAAGGTATTGGATGCTGGAAGGAAAGAGAGAGAACCTATCAAGCAAGTGTGTGTGTCTTCCAGGTCACATGTCATGTATAAAATCTGTTGCTGGGAGTACAAAGTGCAGTCCCCACATTTCTGTTGGGTACACAGTCAATGCCCTCTCTACCCTTGTAGACAAACAGAAAATCCCCCCTTTCTTCTCTCTGCATTTACAGATAGCCTGTGATCCAGAAGGTTCCTCACTGTTTCTTCCTTCTAGGGTAGGATCTGTTTGTCTCCTCATGCTGCCTTTGCCTTGTGTGGCCCCTTATTACTGACGTGGTATTTCTTGGTGGCTGGAATGCCCTATACTCATACCGTGCTGTTTGGAAGTGCAATATCCAAGAGACTGTACAGTTGCAATGTCTTTTTGGTGTACTACTTGCCTAATACAGTATTAAATATTTTTTTAATTTAAAGAGTAACTGATCCCTTTATATCAATTACCTATTTCTTTTGTCATATTGGTACTGCATGGATTCCAAACCCTGCAAACAAGTCAGGAATGGGTGTATGTGTGTTCCAATAAATCAGATTTTAAAACAAGGCTGGTGGATTCATAATTCTCTTCTGCGTTCATATAAATTCTCTCTGTGCAATCCCAACTGCTCAGAGATCTTCCTGGATCAAGAAGAAGGGTAGAAATCAAATAAATAATAGAGCCGCATGATCATAAGTTGCATCATCCATCTGACAGAACAAAGTTTTAATGCCAGTTGTTCCTTTTGGCATGTGGGCCAACCCTGACCACTAGTTGCGTGGCTGCTTCTGTTTCTTCCTCTGGCTTCCGCTGATCTGTGTGGTTAGACAGATGGTGTGAAAGATGGTGAATTCCTAACCACTCAGTCCCTTCTAATTAACTTGAAATGTACCGTATATGTGTTTAGAACTAGTTTAGACTGATGATGCTTGAAAGCCTGTAAGACAAATGAATCTCAGTCCCTTCTAATTAACTTGAAATGTATATGTGTTTAGAACTAGTTTTTTTTAATCTTAAGACTGATGATGCTTGAAATCCTGTAAGACAAATGAATTATCAGGACAAAGGAATCCTAATAATCATGATGCATGAGGTGGGCAAGAAACCCAGGATTACTGTTGGGGGGTGGGGGGGGAACCACAATCCTATATGGACTCTACAAGCCAAGAACCCTCAGTTGAATCTGTGTCCTATGTTCATGGTAAAAGTTAGCACTTGATGCCATGGTATACCTACACTACCCTTTTGCTGCTTTTCAACATTTTTCTTTGTTTTGCCCCTTTATTAGCTTTGGATATCCTGGTGGGAATAGCTGGAGAGAAGAAGAAAATAAGAATGGAGAATTTACTGTCCCCACAGTCAGGGAACCCAGCCCAACCTCCTAGCAACTGCAACATAAGAATAGGACATCTCCCACCCCCAGCAGGAAGATAGCAACCCAACCAGAATATCTATACATGTGCATATACAGACATAAATAAAATCCATTGTACACAAATTTCTTAAAGTCCGTAGGATTGACTTCAACTGGATTCCACAAAGACAGGAGCCACTATGGAGTAAATATTAGCCCGTATTACACCATTATCTGAAAGTTCTCTTGACTGTCCCCCCAAAACTAAAACTGTCTACTCCTCCCAATATTTCACTGAAACTTTATTTAAAAATACAAGTGGTAAACGTCGTGGTTCACCATGGTATCTATTTTATGGTGGCACCACACTATCCTTCCCCCCCATTCCAAAGTGTACCCAGACTCAAGAAGATTAGAGACTCCTTCATAAATCACTTTGACTGTCCTGCATTTGTGGGGTACATTTGCTCACATTTGTACTTGAAACCTAGGAACAGAATGTTAATCAAAATTCCATGCAGAATTCCATGGACCATGTAAGAGAGTGAACATAGCACATCAATAACCATTTGCTCACATTTGTACTTGAAACCTAGAAACAGAATGTTAATCAGAATTCCATGTGGAATAAGGCATGGGCCATGTAAGAGAGTGAACAGAGCACATCAATAACAAAAAAAAACTGGTGTATATCCTTATGTTCTCTAGAACAGAACAGAAAATGCTGGAATTTAATTAATACCTTTTAATGTTTTGCTTTTATTATTTTTATTTTGTAAAGCACCTCAGGCATATTCTTGGAGAGGCAGCATAACAATTATCTAAATAAACAGGCTTCCTGAAGTCTGCACTCACTGTGGTAGACCATTCCACAGGAGGAGACCTATCACAGAGAATGCCTGGGACTGGACTGTTACCAAATAGATCATCCCTAGGTGAGGGCTCCACCAGGAGAAGGCTGTTTGAGGAATGCAAGTAGCTCATGAGGGTATACTGGGAGATGTACTGTGAGAGGTATGAGAGTCCCAGACCACGAGGGCTTTAAAGGTGATAAGCAGCACTTTATGTTGGTCTTGGAAGAAAAAAAGGCAAGCTAAGCAGTTGACAGAGCAGTGGTATTATATGTTCCAGTAGATCCTTGAGCATTTTATACAAGAGCCAACTAGCTGATTTTGCCTATCCTATGGAAACTCCTTGCTTTCTGCCAGCGTGAAATGAGTGAAACCACGTGGCAGCTGTCCATTTTCACCCCACACGTGGATTGCAGTAGACCCACCCAAATAATGACTGACGGTATCAAACGCTGCTGATAGGTCTGGCAATATCAGCAGTGGTAGATTGCCCCTTATACAACTGTAGCTGGAGATCACCCACCAAGACCATCAGAGCAGTCACAAAACACAGCCTGAAGACAGACTGAAATATGTCCCATCCAGAATTGCCTGCAGCTGTTCTGACACAATCTGTTCAGTCACCTTACCCAGAAAGGAGAGACTGGACACAGGTTGATAACGCCAACATTGCTCTTATCCAGAGTATTTAAGAAGGCATCTAATCACAGCTTCTTTCAGCTATGAGTGAAATGACCTTTGAAGGAAGGACACATTAATAATCTTCTGCAAAGAGTGTATCATTTCTCCCCCAGCATGATTCTAATAGCCAGCATGGGCAAGGATACAGTTTACAAGAAGGGGCCATTACAACCTGTCGACATCAGTCAGGGAGACCACCCTGAAACTATCCGCAGAACTCTGACAATGAGTTGCTATCAGTACAGTCAGCAGAAGATGTACCCTAAAACTAGCATCTAAGTCAGTCTAGATGCAAGAGACTTCATTGGCAAAGAGGCTGGTCATATCCCTACTGGGGGTAGGGGATCCCTGCCCCCAAGCAGGCACTTCTCCGCTAGCCCTTTAAAATTCCCTAAAATGTTTTCTGATTCAGTATGAGTTTTCTGCCAACAGTACTCTAGCTGTCTCCCCAGCCTCATCACGTTCTGTAACTATATGCATTTACTCACCAAGCACAGCCGGTCAGTCCTTGTGCTGTCCTGTAAACATATTTCTGTGACATTGGATGCATCTTGCAAACAAATTCCATGAGACGCTTCAAACAAAAATGCCTTTATTTTTTTAAAAAAATCTCACAATAAGTTAGCAAAAATACAAAAATGGCAATTCCACGCAGTAGAAAAAACTTCAGTGGCAGCATTTATATGGCTTCAGTGCCTGGAAATTGCAAACTGCCAAAAGAAGTTGGTCAGATAGTATCTTTTTAAAAAAGTACACACACTTGCACACACGCGCACACAGAAACCATTGGCCCCCAATGAAGCAAAACTTCTACAAACTGAAGAAAACAGCCACTCTGGAATCCTTCCATAATATGCTGAAGTGATGTCCTCTCGCCCTTAATTAATGTTCCCAAAATACATCAGAATGCTTTTATCAGCCAATTCCAGCCCAATTTCCAGAGGAGATGAAATATTTGTTATCAGTGAAGTCACTGTAACACTACCTTTTTGGAGACCTGGCAGATACATAAATAAAATAATGAGGCATATTTCTCATTAGCTTGCCTCTGAGCTTAGGGAAAAAAGCAGAACAGCTTTTCAGACATACGGAATTGGATAAGTGGCTTCACCAGTTAAAGTCTGTGACTTTGGCTAGGGAAATAAAATCTCATCCAGTGTTAGAGGGGAAGGAGAGCTCTTCCCATTTGGAATATCTTCCAGTGTTAGTGAAGACACAGAGAGCTTCTCCCATTTATAAAGTCCTAGTGTCATGTTTCTTCTACTCTACAATCTGCTGCTGGTGACTTTCATTTTAAAAAGTGAGCGAGTTGGGCATGTTTTCCTGTATCCTCAGTTCTGAGACCTCTCCTCTTGGAACGCAACAGCTACATCCTCCACGACAATACTGTCCACAATTGAAGACAGTGAGTGAAGGTTGCGGTCTTCAGACGAATCATCACTCAGCAAATGATCTGTTGAGAATAAAGTAACTATAAGCAGGTAGCTTTCTTTCAGAATCCAGTGCTTTCTGAACAAATGGGGGAAACAGTCCTAGAGAAGAGTAAAGGTCACAAATGTTTTGTAGCTAGATTCAGGCCTGGTACTTGTTGGAATTCCTGCTACTTGGCCTGTTGTAGAAACTGATGAATATACACATGAATTTCCCCCAACAGGCCAAATAGTGTATCCCTGAAACAGGCTGACCACTCAGTACTCTAAATCTGAGAGGCTCTTCTCTCTACCTGTCACTGTCCTGAGCCAAGGAAGATGTATATGGAGGCAAAGCTCTCAGGTCAGAATCTACCTGCCAGGTCCAAATGGGGAGGTTGTAACAGTATGTAGACCTCTCTTGGAGAATAACCATGACATTTAGCAGTAGACAAACATGGCTACCCATCTTGATCCATGACATTTAGCATGAATGATGAGATTTGGGGCCCAAATTATAACTTTCAGGTCCCATCATTATAACTTATTGGGAGTTCATATTGCTAACGTTCATATTGTTAAAGTACTTACATATACCACTTTTTTTGCACTTAGCGGTATACAACAATTAAAAAATACAGCCAGTTTGAAACCTCAGTACTTTAGAGACTAGCACCCTAAAAAGATAGACCATCCACCCTTGTTGTAGCCTTTGTTAACTAGTTTGATGTTTTAACAGTTATTTACATCTGTGTGTGCCTAAGCTAAGTTTTAGATAAGTTTGCATGTTAACATTTCATTGGAAAAGCTCACAATTAAACTTTTGGGTTATCTCAGTAACTACATTTGTTTGTTGTTCAGGGACATTCCAAGTCTAATTATGTCTGTGACAGCACAGATTCTGTTCCTCAGGAGAAGGTTTTAAGTTGTACACAACCAGTTGCCTGCCAGTATTTGACGAAAGAAGGCGATAGTTTAGGCTCTCCTGTGGCTGAACACAGACTTCTAGAATCCAGGGCAGCTTTACCAGGCTGCAATTGGTGTCAGGTAGAAAACTTAGAAACTTCATCACTCCACATAGCCTGTCTGCCTCTTAACGTCTTGGAAACAGAAGTTGGGAGTATGCTTATGCTTCCACAAGCTCTCTCCTGGGATAGGCAGGGTAACCTCCATTAGGAGGAAGACAGGACACACAGCACAGTAATCCCAAGAACAGCATTGATCCTCCATAGTGGACCAACCAAGTTTATCACAATGTTCCTGAAATACTGGGTATATCCTGCTAGGGGGAGGATGGTGGGCGATCCTTTTCTGTTAAGAATCTAGGATGATGAAAAGTGGATAGAAAAGCTGCTTACCTCCAGGATGAGTGCTGAACTCAAGCTGGGTGCTCCAGTCCGGGCTACATGAAGTGCTGCTGGATCCATGGTCACTGGATACCTGGAATCATAAGACAGGGTTCCTGAGAATTATACATATTCAGACACCCAATTATGACAACACTGTCAAGCAAGTCCCCCCCCCCCGACGCTTACCTTTCTTCTTCCTGGTAATAATTCATTTGCCAGGAATGTTGTGGTGGTTTATTAATGAAAATAGGAACCAGAAGAAGCCCACAATGCATGAAACTACACTGTAAAGAGGATTCCATTGGGATTTGGATGAAGGAGCTCACATGCTGCGTGACAGTGTGGTGCTACTGGCAGCTGGTTCTGTGTCAGAGCAGGTACAGCAAAATAGATGCTGCAATTCTATCCCAGTTCTGCCTTCTTCCAGAAGGAACAAAGGGGTGATTAACTGAAGCCCATCATGTCCCAGGTGATGGCCACAAACACCAGCCACACTCACTTCCTCCACAGGGTCAGGATGTACTGTGGTTGGAAGCATCATACATAAATGCAAGATACACGTTCCTGGTAGAGGTGCGTGCTTCAGCAGCAAAGAAAGAGGGTTGGCAGGAGTTACCACTTCATGGAATCCAAAGGGGCCAGTAACTCAGAGGCAAGTGAGGCTTTTGTTCCTAGTTGTAGTCTGCTTTGTTCTTGTCAACCAAAAAACATGGCAGTGGGTGACTGGGCTGACCAAGAACTATAATCTTGTTGATCTCTGACATAACAAAAGGTTATTACTACCCTTAGCAATTAAGAATATAATTGAATATGTAATTTGGAATGGTAGATTTAAATTTAGTTCTTTGTTTTGGGGACAAGGAAAACACTCTACATAGCCAAGATGCAGTAAAATTCACCTCCATGCTTGAAAGGAGATAGATGGGGTCTAAGGATAGGACTCTCACAAATTAGGGCACATCAATCTCCAGTTGTAACATATTTATCACCTATGTCGTGTCCCCCCCCCCAGTTGAACCAAAACAGATGATAACCAGGAACTAACTTGTCATTCTTTTGATTTGTTAAAAAATGTGTCCTCACTATTTTGCATGCTAATTTAACAAACCGCTCCTACATATACAGCTATGATATGTAAAATTCCATTTCATTATCTGACGAAAGCTCATACCTTGAATAAACCCTTGTTGGTCTTAAAGGTGCCACTGGACTCTAACTTTGTTCTATTGCTTCAGACCAACACGACTACCCACCTTGCTATAATCCCCCCCCAAAAGACATTCACTTGCTGTAAAGCATTGCTTTCTATCAGATTTCTTTTCACTGTCTGGATTTACTTAAACTGCTTTCATAACACATTTAGAGTCCGGTGGCACCTTTAAGACCAACAAAGGTTTATTCAAGGTATGAGCTTTCGTGTGCAAGGCACACTTTTTCAAATACATTGGAATGTAAGGTTCAAACTTATAGACAGGGACTTATCAGTAAATTAACATGTAACATGATGATGTTTAAGCTATGCAAAGTCGTAGCTTCTGTACAAGCTCATACCTTGAATAAACCTTTGTTGGTCTTAAAGGTGCCACCGGACTCTAAATTTGTTCTACTGCTTCAGACCAACACAGCTGACCACCTGGATCTATCTTAAACTGCTTTTGTTCAGCTGTGGAACACTGAGATTTCCATCTTTGTTTCTCCTTTGTTTTACGGTATTTCTGCATGATAAAGGATAAAAGTGGCCTTAAACATATTTTACAGCTAAAACTTGACTTCTGCAAGTTCAAATCCAGTGCCAGCAGTATGATAGCTTACCCCTACCTAAAGGGTCGTGTGGCTGTGGGTGTATGAAGGGGGGGGGGCAATAACATGCAGCTGTTCATAACTTTTATATATATTGTCCAGTATCGAAGCACAGTGTTTGCAAGGTGTTTTTTTAAAAAGAAGTAAATGTTCCTGAAATGATCAGATGGTGTGGAAAGAGGAGGGCAGTGATGTTGTTCTTTGAAAATATCTATATCCTACCCTTCCCAAATTCTCAGGGAAACAAAAAGTATTCATGCGAATGTTCTAAACTAAAACCTTCAGCCAAAAAATTAAGAGCCACCGGACAGAAATCCGCCCTTGCCTCTCCAACCCCACATTCAGAAGAATTCACGCAAGATGCTTGACTAGAAGGGGGATGTTGCTACTGTCTCCAAGCAGCCCCTTGCTAGGGTCCCTAGGCAACGTGGTCCCTTAGAATTTTGTGCCCTGCGTCCCACAGTGCTTCATTTGCTCTCATGGAACCAGAGGACAAAGTGGGACAGGCGAGGGAATTCTGCCAGTTGTCTCAAATGACTCCCCCCCCCCAGGCAATGACCAACTGGTGCCTGTGATATTTATGCAATCACATTTCATGTGGCAGCCATAATTAACAAAAGATGTGTTATTGTGTGGAGAACTTTGCATTTTCCCAGGTACTGGTTCATAATGTATTCATCCAATGCTGCTAACCTAAACTTTTGAAGAACTAGTGCAGTCTGCGTGCAGCTAATTAATATTCATCCTACTATAAATTAATCGCATAGAATACTAATTTTCACATCCATGGGAGGGACATGGTAGTAAAATGAGATGCTCTGTGTAGAAACAACAGACTTCGATGTGCTATCTATAAAAGCAGTAAATGTTTAAAAAGCAAGTCTTACTAATTTTAAACAGGAAAACCATGAAATAATAAAACACCCATGAACCTATCTTATACTGTACCAGACCATTGGTCTGCACATATCAGTGCTGTCTACTCTGGCCAGAGTCTCAGGTAGAGGTCTTTCCCATTGGGTTGGATCCAGCCAGCTTTTCCACTCAATTTCTCTCCTTACCACAGACCCCATCCCACATGGCTTTTGCTCATGCAGGTCCCATGATCCCCTGCATAGCTTTTTGGCAGTCCACATGGACCCTTTCCTCCCTTTCTTCCCAGCTGAAACACTTCTTGGATCCAACCCTTTATTTCTGACCTGATCCTTTTAACTGGAGATGCTGGGGACAGAACCGGGACCTTCTGCATACAAAGCAGAGGTTCTCCTACTGAGTCACAAACCCCTCTCCGTAAAACATGGGGCAGGATCTGTACATCCAGGGAAGGGAGCTTGGAAAGGCAAAACTCTGGAGCTTCTGTACAAGCCCTTTGGCTGCTGGTGAGGAACCAAGACTGCTTTTCAGTCATTTTTTTAATGTGTCTTGAATTAAGTGCCCTAGCCCCTAGGAATAAGTGGCTGCAGTTTGTACCCAAATGCCCTTGTGCATCTTTAAATGGAGACATCTAGTTACCCATTTGAACTCAACAGCTGTCCCAGTCTCAAGCTCCCCTCCCCATCCTTTCTCACTGGCACATGCGCTGGAATTTGTTTCTGAAGTGCCATCTGTTGGTTCAAATTGTGTGTACCACTCACCTCAGTGGTAAGGGTTGAGTCAGTCATTACCTTGCTATGCCTGCCCATCTTCTGTATATCTCTGATGCTGCATCTATTGCACATTTTTTGAGTGAGGACCCTACACTTGACCAGCAAGTGATTATGCTATTGCATCCTTCTGAATAAGGGAATCATACTCGATGAGTTTAAGTGGAAGGTCCCTGGACAGTTGCAGCTGTACTTGAACTGTACCACAATGCAGAAGCGCAACCAATTGTTGAAGATTAACCCCTAAAAATTACTCACACTCACTAAAATAAATTCCCCCACCTACTGTGCTGAATGTATGTGTAAAGAAGATAATCCTCCAGCCCATGCTGACTTTTCTAAGCAAGTGCTAAAGGCTGATCTTACAGTTGCCTCAGGCTGCACAGATTGAATACACTGGGAAACAGGGTAGCTCCATTCCCCTGTGAAGGAAGAGCAGAGGCAAGATATCGATAACCCACTTTGCTTTGGGTAAGGAAAGCTGCAGTGTGGAGGGGACAGAACCGGGACCTTCTTTTGGGTAAGGAAAGCTGCAGTGTGGAGGGCCAGTTATTGAAGCCAGAGAAGTTGGAGTCCATTGCTGTGGGATACCCACAAGCCAGCAGTGCTGGTTCCTCCTGAGGCTAGCTGAGGAATGTGCTCCATGGCAACACTGATGGTCTACTGATGGCTCTTTCCCCTCCCTTGGCACTTACCCCTGACTGGGCACTGTTGCTACAGTAGCGCAGTTCCCGCTGGTCCCGCTCCTGCTGATTGAGGGTGCTCAGCAGCGCTTGCAAGCGTTCGATGTATTGAATGGCACTACGCAGGATCTCCACCTTGGGCAGCCGCTGGTTGGGGTTCAGCAAAGTGCTCCGTTTCAGAGCTTCAAAGGCCTCATTGACCTTTTTCAGCCGGCGTTTTTCCCTCAGGGTAGCGGCACGGCGCCTGTCGATGGAGACACTCTTCCGCTTGCATACTTTGCATGCCCATGGCAGGCACTGACCGGGACTGTGGTCTGGCAGGGCTGAGGCCTTCTCTTCCAAACCAGCCCTTCCCTCAGGACACAGTGCCACGGCTGCTCGGTCTTGGTAGGTTGTCTGCTCATAGCTATGTAAGCGAGGGCTCAGGTAGTTTTCCCCATCGTAAAATCGCTGTTCTGTGAAAAAATATGGGCTGGTCTCTAGGAGTTCCATAGTAAGCGTCTGGCAAGGAGAAGCCTGTGTTGGGGAGTGAAACTCCAGCTCCTCACACCAACTGCTTGGTGGCATTTAAACCCGTGCTGGCATTAAATCACAGAGATAAATATAGCAAACCTCCAGGAAACCTGAGCTCGCCCTAAGCTGCTGCTTCGCATCAAAACTTGTCCATCTGATTTCATGTACTCTCCCTGTGGGGATTAGTCTGCTGCTTGGGGCAGAGCTGTGGCTGGATTGGGGGGGGGGAGCTGGCATGTGCTCCAGAGAAGCCCAGCCGCCTCTCAAACAACGGCCCCATTGGATTTATTTTCACTTGCTCTCCTACAATGATATTGATGATCAGTCGGCTCCCTGAGCTGGCAGCTCTGTGCAGCATTTGCCTCATCTTCTGCTTTCAATTACTGCTGCCTGCCAGCCCCAAGGCACAGACTCCCCGGCCTTTCCAGAGAGGAGTAATGCAGGGACAGGAACAAAGGCAGCTCACCCCCCCACCCCACAGAAACAGAACAGCCTTTCCCCTCTTCCAACACCTCAGTATCTGCCTTGACCTGGATGGCAGGATTAGGGTTGCCCCTCCTTCATGGGGGGAAATGGCGTGCCTTTTGCAACTTCATGAGGCCCTGGGCAGCCCTAGATGGTAAAAGCTTTCCACAGCACTGCAGATCTGTGCTGGAGAAACTTCACCTGTTGATTTTCTGCCTCTCATGCAGTGGGCACAGAATCTCCATCCATCAAAAAGGTAGCAGTCTAGGCAACGCTTAATGTTTCCGGCCCAATTGGTACATCCTATCATAACCTCTCGTGTCTCGTCTCCCACTCTTACTTGTTATGATGAGCGCTTAGTGCACGGGTGAGCAAATGAATCTTCCATGATGAACAGCAATCTAAAATCACAATAAATATACTGGGTGGGAAAGTGGCAGCAACCAGACAGTAGGGCTGAGCAGGGGGAATTGTCATCCCTGGCACACGACAGCACAGATAGCCACAGGTAGCAGTTCCGCTTCTGTTAGGGAAGAAGTGGAGCTCAGCCCTGACCTGGATAGCCCAGGCAAACCCGATTTCATCAGCTCTCGGAAGCTAAGCAGGGTCGACTCTGGCAAGAACTTGGATGGGAGACCTCCTTGGAATACCAGCGGTGGGAGGCCGGGCAGGCTTTATTCAGCCACCTCTCTGAATATCCTCCAGGCCCCCAGTAGGGGTTAGTCACCAGAGGTCACCATGACTTCCAGGTGTGTACACATGCACATATTAAAAAAAGAAGAAGTGGAGCTCAGTAGGAAGAGCCCTTTGTGGAATAGTCTCCCTTGGCGAGGAGCAGCACCTATTTGGAAATAAAATGCAAGTCAGAGATCAGACAGGCAAAAAGGAACTATGAGGAACATATTGCAAAAAACATAAAAACCAACAATAAAAATTTATTCAAATACATTAGTATCACTCAGGAAACCAGTGAGGGAAGCAGTGGTATTCTTGGATGACCAAAGGGTGAAAGGATTACTAAAGGATGATAAGGAGATAGCAGAGAAGCTGAATGCTTTTTTTTTTTTTTGCCTCTGTCTTCACTTTTGAAGATGGGAGGTGCTTGCCCACTCCAGAACCACTGATTTCAGGAGTGGTGTCCAAGGACCTGAGTCAGATTGAGGTAATGAGAGGGGAGGTCCTATGACTGATGGACTAATTAAAAACTGACAAATCACCAGGCCCGATGACATACATTCTTTACTAATCACCTGCTGGGGGTTCAGATGTCTTGTTTTGCTTGGCCAGGCTGTCCTTACTTTATTAGCAGATCAAAAACAGACCAGATGGGGCATGGGACTCGCATGAAGCTGGGGCCTTTGCAGGGGGACAACCCCTGCCCCGTGTAGGCCAAAAGGGCACTCTTAGCGTTAGAGTAAGGGTGGTCCCCTGCTCATCCATCCAGATGGGACACCACTGACTAGGTATCAGTTTGCGGGCATCTTGAGGGAGTGGTGGGCCTGTCTTACCAGGAATTGGGGCCCCACTCTTTTTGGATTGGGGCAGCCACTACTGCTGCAGGCCTAGGGTTTGTTTGTTTATTTATTTATTTCTCACATTTTTATCCCACCCTCCCCACGAGCGGGCTCAGGGCAGCTCACAACAAGGGCATCAAGTGCCAGTATAAACATTAAAATCAAAATAAAACATTCAGATTAGCATTAATAAGTGCTCAGTAATATTATTGCTTCAGTCAAATCAAGATGAAGGCTTGAGAATATTCCCCTGATGCGCATCCAAGCCATAGGGCGATGCCGCTCCAGAGTGTACAAGGCTTACATAAGGCCACTGTCATGCCTGCCCCTGCTGATGCCATGCCTGCCCTTGCTGATGCCCCTGAGGAGGCACCTGCCAGCCAGGAGCCTGTGGACTTACAGGCTCCTGAGGACAGTACTGCAGCAGAAAGGCAAAGACTGGATCCCCGAGCTGAAAGCTATCTAAGTGGTGAGGAGGATAGAGCCTCCCAGTGTTATGCCAACTTCTCCAGGAAATTCCTGGAGACCCAATCCAAGTTATCTACCAAGGAAAATTGGGTGTTCGTGGCTGTGCGTAAGTTCAATACCAGTCTATACAGAGGTCGGATGGCGAATGAGACGCTCGGCTATATCCCAGGAAGTGAGACAACACGCTAGTCCTTAAATAAATGTTGTCTTTACTAAAGGTTTTTCATCAGGCATACAAAATCGGAATCATACAAATTCATACAAGCTCCTTAGTTACAATAGTACATCAGAACAATTACAGCATAGAAAATAACAAAAGCATCAAAATGGGGAAGACACAATGGGGCACGGCTATACTCATCTGAGGTCCAGCTGAGGAAGAACTCCCCTCCTTGGAACGCTGGGCAGCCGAAAGCAGCAGCTTGTGAACTCCAAGGCACACAGGTAGGACCAGCCAAACCACGTGTGAGCTCTCTGGGTCGCGACTCCGGAGAACTTAAGTAGTAGAGTCACTTGTAGCACCTTAGTGCACTGCTATGGGGAGGGTGGGTTAACCAGAGAGACAAAGGAGAGTTTCTCCTTAAATAAACTCTTTTTGGGGCATGTGCTATCCAGCCATAAACTATCAAACCCGTCCTCTAAACTATCACTACTGGATGAAGAGGGGGTGACGAGGGGATGACGAAGGGGATGACGCTCTCCTAAGGGGTGGTGGCAATATGCAGATCCTACTCCTACATCAAAGGTGCCTTTTGGCAAGGTGTGAATCTTCCGTTCCCATGGACACCTCTTGATTTGCAGATCTGGTTCCTGCTCCAAAGCCATAAACGCTATTGTCTTTAGATCTCCAAACCAGATTAAGGGAGTAGGGTCACTTGCTCTTTCCATTCCAAGAATGCCGGGGTTCGCTGGGGATTTTCCATAGCTCTCCAAGTGGGTGCAATGGCGCGGTGTCTTCTCCATCCCAAAGAGTCATGGGATACATTCCAGGGACGCACATGGTCCGTATGTGCAACGGCAGGCCCAGGCCAGCCTATTTCTAGGCAAGCATGAGATGCAGAACAAAGCAACACACAACATACAGCAATCCCTGAATACATAATGCATAGGTATTCATGCTAGAGACACACATAAGCAGCATCACCACTATACAGAAATACAAACATAAGCTCATATCGTTACAGTCCCCCCTTTCGCGGCGGCAGAACTAAAAGTTCGGCCTGCCACGACAACAAAACATTGAGTCCACGTGGCGGGTGCCACTCCAAGGCGCTGGCATGGAAGTGAAACGTCATCATGCCAGGCAGGTGCAAAAGAATGTCCAAGTCCATGCGTTGGTGACCCCTATGTGATCTGGTTTGGTGTGGTCATGAACAGAGTCCGGGTCCATGACAGGCAACGTCAGCAGAAAGAGCAGGCAGGCAGGCAGACACGTCTTCGGTGTCGGGGTGTCGCCATCCAGACAGAGGCATCCGTGCTTCCTGTCTAAATCTAGCTAACGTTGGAGGACGGGTTTCTTTCCTTTGAAAAAGGGAAAAATACCAAGACCTGTCCTATACTTACCAAAAATGCCAAATCAAAATAGGGGGGGGGCAGCAATGACGTCAGACAAGTAAGAGCCGTGGGTGTTCACTTCAGATGTGCATGTGATGCCCTAGTGACAGCTCAATGCATGTCAAACCTGCTTGCATGGAAACAAAACAACAAAACAGTTAATTCACAGCTAAACCACAAGGCATGGTGTGCAAACAGTCCCAGTTTCCCAGGAATAAAGCAGCCTTCACCGATCCCTGAGTAAAACAACCCCATCGTCTCCCTAAGCGGAGGCGGTCCGTGGGATTCATTGAGGCAAGCAGCAATAAACAGTAGCAGCATTCACGCAGCCGCGTGTAGTGTCGGTGTTTGGGCGAAAGAGGGCTTCCAGTACCGTGCCAGTCCTGGCAGGGGAGGGGGTCCTCTCACTGGTGGGGGCATGGTTATGCATATGCAAATCGTCTCCCCCCTTTGCTTCCCAAAGCACCTTGGGACTCGCAGATCCCATGATAAACACAATTTATTTAAAGCAGACTAAACCGGTGGGTGCACTCCTAGGCGCACTATAGACATTTTCGGGAGGTCATATTCAAGATAAAACAACGGTCGCGTGCTCTTGCTGGTGCACCATGATCATGAACACAGTCTGGCTACAGCACCTCCTAGGCTCGTTCTCCATCGGCCATTCCTACCGAATGGGCCAAACCATCGCACAAGGAACCTGAACTCGTGCGCTGTGTGGTGCAGAGCCATGGGATCCCTGGTTGGCTTATAGGTTTGGTGAACTCCGCCTCGAGGTCTAGACCTCTTTTAGCTAGAGGACGAGTGACGCCTCTGCTGTGATCCGATTTCAAATGGATTACCAGTTTTAAACACTCGAGGGTCCCCTCCGGGGGACTCTCTCCCACTCCCAGTCAAGAATAGAAAGTCACAAACAAAAGGATTCCCCCCTTTGAGCCAGTGCCGGTGGCACAATCCAAGGTTCCATTCGGATGCATGGGGATCTCCTTATAAGGAAGGATCGGCCGACGGCCGTGCCCGAGGCCGTTCGTGCG